TGCCCCCCCCACCCCTTCCAGACTTACCAGCTGGACATAGCTGTATCCAGCATCCTAAAGGAACCAATCACCCATTTATAACATTGTTCCTATGGGAAAATTAGTTCCTAGTTACAACCTTTCGACTTAAGCCACAATTGGTTCCTGAAACCCACGTCTTAAGTCTGAGGCCTGTATTCATTTGTGACCAGGAAGGAATTTTTCTCCAGAGCAGACTGGCAAGAATTCTGACAGTTTTTTCTTAGTTTTCCCCATGGCTCCTAGAAAGCCCAGTCGATTTAAAAGTAACGGAATTTTAATGGTTGAAGAAAAGATTTTAAAATATTAACTTTTTTTTTAGCTCACAGCTAGTGTCCAGTGCAGGTAAATGTTAGAAACAGATTGTTTCCAGAGGTAAACAGAACACAGTTGGTGGACCTTGCATTTACATGTACCCAAGGTCTCTTCTACTATTCTATCCTCAACATGTGGGACAGAGCAAGAGGTTATGGTAGGCAAAGCAGGCTCTTTGAAATGGGATGGTTTTAGGACGTGAGGCATTTTAATCCAAAATCTGTTAAACCAGGGGTATCAAATTCATTTTGCCCCATGGGCTACACAAACTATTTCCAGGACCTGAGGAATACTGACTTGTACCTGAAAGGCTGTCCAAATATCTCCCAAAAACACAGTTGTTCCTATAAAATATATGACCCATAAATATCACTCTCTCTCACATGTCTTGGACCATTATGACTATAGAATCCAACATCTCCAGAGAAGTTGCCTTTCTGGAATAGAAAAATGTACATGTTCCTTCAACAGTATTCCTCAGGCTCTCCTGTCCACGTACTGAGCACAGCAAAATCTGCTTGATTTATTACTGCACTTACTCAAATATAAGACAAAGTCCCTCGCCCCCACCACCCCAATCTGCATAGTGGGAAAAGCTCATCTTATATTTACATACAAGAAAACCTCACTAAATATACTATCATGTAACTGCTGCCAAAAGCAGAACGTGCTCAGTAATGGAACTCCAAACACGACTACAAAACACATGGCCCGTATGGGGCAACCATAAGGATAAGTTAGTGCAGCCCATCTGAATAAGATAGAGGATAATGCCCACTGAGTGCAGACCTCCTTTTCAAGTCATGGTGAGCCACAATATTGAATACAGTTTGACTTCCATAGTTCTACAGATGAGCTGTGCCATTTCCACTGATTCCTATTTCTTTATCTGCCTTAAATGTCAGTAAACATCACCAAACAGGGCTCCAAACGGTTTACCCAGAATCCCTCTGTTGCTCCCTCTCTCAGTCTGGTGTATATAATTAGTGTAGCCCTGCCCCCCATGAGGTAGAGCTGAACCAGGTTGCCCTATGTCTCAGCTACGTCAATGTTTTTGAGGATCCCAGAAGTCATGACAACAACACCCGGTTGCAATTATGAATGGACAGGCTAATTACCTCCACAAAGGATTCATGAGCTATCTGGAGTACACACACATACTGAGCAGTGCTGATCTGTGAGGTCACCATGGCTTGAAATCCCATTGGCTCAACAGCCCAGCCCAGTGAACTATATGGTAAATCATTAGCCTTTTGTCTCTGAACTAACATCACGCATAGTTTGTACTGCTTATAAGTATGTACAAAAGTGTTGCTTAAAAGTGTGTGTATGAATTTATATGCTAAAACTTCCAGCAGTTCCAAAAAAGGTAAAATGCATCAGTCTTGGATGAACTAAATCTGTGGGTACCCGGAGTAAAAAGTCAGTGTTTTCAAATGTGCCCCTTACTTCCAGAACAGAGTCTGACCATGGTGGGGAAGAGAGGGAAGGTGCTGCAGGGGAGAAAGAAAGGAGCCACCTAATCCCTCCAGATTTATTTTTCCCTGCTGTAGCAGTGGGAGGTAGACAAATTCAAGGCAAACCTCCAGTAATTAGACTGTATACCTAGAAAATTATAAATGCTTCCTGAGCCTGACAAAGGGCATTTCAACCCAAAAGCTTGCAACAAAGCATTTTTCTCTATTATCTGAGTTGGTCTAATAAAAGATATCAGATTTATCTAAAGAACCTTGCCTACCTATGTCCTAAGACCAACACAGCTACAACCTATACCCCCAGAACATTATAAGAAACTTATAAATTGTCCATATATAGAATCTAATTCATGGGGTTCATCTTATATTCAGGTTCACTTTAAATTTACCATATTTACTCAAATATAAGATAAGATCCAACTACAGCACAGCTGCAACTTAGCAATATTTGTCATTGCTATATTCAGTTAAGTCCTTTGGAGCGAGTTAACAAAAGCAGTAATCACTGGTTTTTTATATAACACTATATAGCACTACTACTAGACAAAAAGATGAACAATTTCTTCTGTGTATGAAATATCTGACAATACCTTTCAACATATTTAAACATGTATTTGTCATGTAATTTAAACTTCAGTCAAAGATATTCTTAAAAAACTAAACTACTTAAATATTTGGCCTCATTATTAAAGATACCTAAATATCTGTGACAAATGAAGTTACTTTTGCTTTTAATTAGTGCCAAAGCCATGAATATTTGTTTTAGAACTATCTTTTTGACAATACTTTTTGACAATTGCAAGGATATGGATATTAGAACATTCTGTAAAGTAGGTTAAAGAAAAATAGCACATTAAAAAAAGGATTTTGAAATTAAATTTAAACAAAACTGTAATATTAGTCTTCAAGCGTTCAAATTTAGAACTACGTTATTTAAAATGATGAATTCACTATATGCATGCCAGGTTTTCCTTCTTATAATTTTAAACTTCAGAAGTGTTTATGCCTAGTATTTAGAAAGAGATTATTATTTATATTAAAGTTGATATTTCAGTGAATAGCCATGATTATTTTAACAGGCTCAAAACTTAAACATTTACAAAAGTACTGGTGCTCATGTCATGCTCTGTTCAATTCTAATCAGCTGCTAAATCTCAAGTGCCGGAACTCTCAATTGAAACTCAAACACAACCCAGCTGAAGTCATCAAAAGTGATTCACATTTGTATGCAATCCAAACAGCTTAAAATGCCCATGCAATAATTTTTGTTTTGTTTTGTTTTTTTATTGTTTTTTAAAGAGAAAAGGTACTTCACAAAACTTAGGAATATAGTATTGAAATGAGCCTCTTGGGCCAGTGAATCCAGTCCTCTCATGAAACAAATGGAGTTTTTTTAAGCTCGCCAAACATACACATTTATCAACCAGTCACTAAGTCTAATAGTCAGCCCCTGCTGTAATGATCATGGGCTTTCTTAAAGAGACTGAATACGCAGAGCTGAATTCTCAGCTAGGCTAAGGCTGGATTTGGTGCAACTGGGAAGTATTAAGTTGAAGTGTACTGACAGCTCTGTCAGAAAAAAACTTATTCATTATAACATTAACTACAATATAGATAACTGTGACATTTAAACATCAAGCAACTTTACGTATTTTTACTTATTTATTATTACCTTTTTAAGTGCATATTTTGGATCATCAGGAAGAACCATTATTATTTTGCCATCAGGGTACTCAGCCAAAATTCTCTCCTTTTTCCATCCCTAAATAATAATAATAATAATAATAATAATAATAATAATAATAATAATAATAATAAAATCTGAATACAAGATGCCGTTTTACAATAATAGTAATACATATCAACTTGTGGTATAAAAATTTACAAAAAACCTAATTGCAATTGCTTAGCTGATAAAAGACCTTACCAGCCAGCCTTATTTATCTACACGATAATCATAATGCAGTCACATTCGATGCAAGTTTATATCACCCAACTACACCTACATACAACTTGTGAAGGTATTTTATAATTGTATAATTGAATTTTTCCCCCACAACATGATAGTTCAAACTGAAATTTTAAAAAAGGATTAACTCACTCAGATAATATAACTGATGCCCCAGTCTAAAAGGCATTAATTTTCTAGAGTCCAGTGAATGGAAAAATCTATGCTTCTATTAAAAGATTTCTTCTTTAACATAGTTACCTCCACAAATACACACTCAGTTTTAAAGTTTGGCATGCGAAAGACCTCCAGGAGGTTCTAAATGAACTGATTGGCATGCAGTTGCCCAAAATGTAAGGAAGAGATTTTTTTTAATTGATCAAAACTATCAAAGCCACAAGAAGGAGACTATAAAAAGTAGTATAACTACCTTCTAAGAATCTAATGGGGAAGGAGGCTACGTTGTGTGTATCTGAAGTTAAACACACTCAAAAAAATAGAGGTTATTAATTCTTCTTCAGATCCACACTCATGGTGATTAATGAGCAGTACCTGCATGGAAAAAACAAAACAAAAAAAGCCACTTAAATCTAGTAAGATGGGACTAATCCAGAAATTAGAACTTAAGTTGCTTTGACGAGGTTCTGAAAATACAGAGAGTAATTTCAGCCACTTAGCTGGCCAAACTATAAGTTTTACACAAAGCAACTTAATGTAAAAAAGCCTTTGCAGAAACAACACAGATGGAACACTTTTCATTGAAATCTATAACTTCCAGCATCAATAAAACCTAACTAAAACAAACAACTGGATTTGGCACTGTGTCTGAATGCCACGATCTACCTGTATTGTGTCACATGCTGGAAGTATTATCCTTGATTTCTATTTTTTTAGCATGCTACTTTCAATCTCCATTTCCCAAACAAGAGAGTAAGAGAAGAATTTTAGAAATGAGGCTCATCAGAGGTCCACTTGCAGCCAACACTGAAAATGACACAGAAGGGATACTTTTGAACATGTGGTGTTCCCCAGGGCTGAGCACTAATATCACAGGGGTGTTATGCACAAGTGTAGTTCATTCCTGCCATCTTCCACCTCAGCAACAGCAATACTGAGTACTGACACAGAGTGGCATAATGGAAGTTATGCTTGGCTGGTAGGAACTAATAAGATTATCATGACACTAACTCAGAAGAACAGTACTATGTGTGATAGCTTGATCTCAATTTTTAATAAACATAGTATCTCCTAAACAAACTAGAGCAGGAGTTAAGCCCCCTCTTTTTTCCTTTTCATCTCACTTAACTTGACTCTCTGACTCCTACGTATTCCATTACCTACTCTTTCCCAACTAAGAATGTCACTCATCTAATCTAAATCACGTGCTTGGTAATCCTGCCATAACAGCACCCAGAGTGATACTGTCCCAACACAAGGATGCAGACCAGTAAGTATTTTAGGCAAAAAGCATGTTCTCAGGAGAGATGCTCAGACATTCTTCTTCAAAAATAGTTTCATTAAAAGGTAAGAAAATTATGAAAGCTGTCTTTTCAGAAGACTTTTAATCCCAAGGAACAGTCAGTCTACCTATACATACAGAAAAATAGGAGTCCTGTCACCCGACTATGCCGCCACTGCTTTACTTTTAAGTAGATTAATATTTTATTAAAACAAAACAGAGTAAGATCAGAGAAGCAATCTTTCAGGACAAGTGAAACTGCATCTAAATATTTATCATTTTTCTTTTCGTTCTATTGTTCTGTATCTACTATTTTTCGGAAGAGAATTTAAGTGAATATATATATTTTTTAATACAAGATAATTTTGTGCAGCTGTTACTTCACAGCTTCTGAAATCCAGAGCCTTACAACTCTGCCTTTAAAAGACACCCTGTGCTGAGAAATATTTAAAGTCTTCCCAGGTATGCTGCCAGTATTCAAAAAAAGATTTAGATTTAGATCACTTGATTTTATGGTTTAGAGTAAAAAACAAAACCAAGTACAAATGGCATCCCTCTCATTTTGAATTTTGTAGTATTTCTCAAGAAGTAGATATAACCTTTTCTCTATTTTGTCAAAAATCCTAATGCTTACAAACAAAAAGGAACAAACTATTTCCTCCTAAGCTACCAGTATGTTGATAAATCACCAGAATATCATAGTCCGAGTATTATTCTTATATTGTATTTTAAACTTTCAACTTTAGTTGATCAAGTATTTGCAAATATACCAATACAGTTTTAATGATATTTTATGCAATTTGCTGGCATATTTTCCTTTAAAAATAAATCCCCATGAAGACCTGGAGTAAAAAGAAAGCGTTTTCATCATTCTGACTTCAAAGTGGGACTCTACACTAAGGTGTTCTAAGGTGGGACTGTGAACTCAAGTAATACAAAGTGTTGTTTAGAATTTAAAAATAAATAAATAAATAAATAAATCAGTATTAAAGTTGGCAGAATGAGCTATCACTTTCTTTCATTTGTATCAAAATACTCATAATTCTGCATTGTCTGGGAAAAGGGCATGATTGTAACCATATAGCCATAGAAGTAAGCTCTACTGTCATTAGATAACTAGTTGTTGAGATTCTGTATGGCTATTAATTGTAAGTAATAAAGGCACACTAAATTCATGTTAGTCTATCAGAGTAGTATCATCCATTTAGTAAGCTGAAAACAGCAAGCATTCTCTCTAACACCTGCAATGTCAGTGGATGTAGATATCTATATTGTAGGTCACTAAACTAAGATGAGAGAGTCCTTTACTAGAGCTGACGAACTGCTGGGAAAATAATTATCTATTTGCGTTATTATCACTTAAACATTTATTTTCTAATTCATATGCACATATTCTATTTAAACTATTTTAAAAAATGACTCAAGATTGTTTTTATTGCACCCTAACAATGCACAGAATGTGTATGAAAAGAATGACAAAATAATGAATAGCTTAAACAGGAAATCTAATCAAGAATAAAGGAAATGTTGCCTATTACACAGCAGTTGCTGCAGTGTTTACAGTATTGAGGCACTGTGATAGGAACACCAACTGTGACAGTGCAGTTTTGGCGCAGCATTTTTTGGTATATTCCAGCCTAGTTAAGGGGCAGAATGAGGATACAAGTGTGACTAAGCCATTTTTCAATAGCGATGGCAACTCTGGTGTAGCTTGGAAGTGCTTGCACTTATGCAAGTTCTGCTATGCTCACAATGTAAAGAACTTCTGATGTACACTTGTCCCTTGAAGATATACAAACTAAGGATACAGAAGAATGCATTAACTATGTATTTCGGAATTTTCAAAAAGTTCTTATAAAAATATAAAATATGATATGATGCCCGGCACTGATTTTTTTGATACACCAGGCATAACCTGTTTCCAATCACTGCCTCCCACATACATGTAAATAGCTTGAAAATTATAATTTTACATTTTTGTTCTTCCTAAAAATGTTTATGGTGTTTTAAGAGTGATATTGTAGCTGTGATGCTCCAAACATTAAGTGAGAAGTAAGGATTTCTTAGGATGAAATCTTTAACAGACCAACTGAAAATGTTTAGATGTGGAAAAAATAAAGAACCTTATTCCTGGCAGATTCTTTAGTATGTCTTAAAGAAAAGAAGTTAAGGTAAGGAAGTTAACTTCAACTGCACACCCTTTTTTTAATCTTTCATGCTTTATAGTAGTAAATAATAGGATGAACTAGATTCTTATTTCCAATTCTGACATCAGTTTTGTTCTCTTAGGCAAGTTATAACTTTTGTTTGCGTCCAATTGCCCTCAACTGTAAAACAAGGATATTATCTCTTAAGGAGGGTCATCATCAACAACCTGGAAGATGACATAATGGGCACCCTCAGCAAGTCTGCAGACACCAAGCTAGGGGGGGCAGGGGGCTGGATACACTGGAGGGTAGGGCTTGAATTCAAAGTGACCTAGACAAAGTGGAGGATTGGGCAAAAAGGAATGTCATGGGGTTCAACAAAGACAAGTGCGAAGTCTTGCACTTAGGATGGAAAAATCCCATACACCAATACAGAACTGGGGACTAACTGGCTGGGCGGTCTGCAGAAAAGGCCCTGGGGGTTACAGTGAACAACAGGCTGAATACGAGCCAGCAGTGTGCCCTTGTTGCCAAGAAGGCTAACAGCATCCTGGGCTGCGTTGGTAGGTGCGTTGCCAGTAGGTCAAGGGAAGTAATTATTCCCCCCTCTATTCAGCACTGAGGCCACATCTGGAGTAGCGTGTTCAGTCATTAGATAACTAGTTGTCGAGATTCTGTATGGCTATTAATTGTAAGTAATAAAGGCACACTAAGTTCACTACAGAAAGGAAGCTGACAAATTGGAGAGTCCAGCAGATGGCAACAAAAATGGTGAGGGGGCTGGGGAACATGACTTCTGAGGGCAGGCCAAGGGAACTGGACTTGTTTAGAGAAGTGAAGACTGAGGGGGGTTTGATGGCAGCCTTCAACTATCTGAAGCGGAGTTCAAAACAGGATGGAACTAAATTGTTTTTAGTGGTGGCAGATGACAGCAATGGTCTCAAGTTGCAGCAAGGGAAGTTTAGGTTAGATAAAAAGAAGAATTTTCTCACTAGGAGGACAGTAAAGCACTGGAACAGGTTTCCCAGACAGGTGGTGGAATCTCCATCCTTGTACATTTTCAGGACCCAGCTAGAAAAAGCTTTGGCTGGGATGATCTCATTGGGAATGGTCCTGGTTTGAGCAGGGGTTTGGACTAGATGACCTCCCGAGGTCCCTTCCAACCCTAATTTTCTATGATTTCTGTTTTAATTGTAGAATGCCTCAAG